CGAAGGACAAACCAAAGGGCTCATAGCTGAGAGCATCCAAATAGAAACCATGGTAGAAAGATAACATCTGGGGGCAACAAAACGCTAACACTAAGGCATCTACCCTCATTTGTCAGAAAAAAGCCATTAACTCACAGGGTAGAATAGATCACTTAAGAAGCTAGCAGTCAAACGAAATGTTCTTGTAAGGTAGGGTTAGGGTCCACGATTGCCCCACCAAAAAAACCCCAATTCTGAAGTTAGCTTGACCACTGTAAGGATTTCGGTGGACAAAAAGAATGCCTTGCAATTTTATGTCCGATTTTGATTTCAACCCTTGTAAATTACCGATAAACGGTGTCTGCTAGTAAGAAGCAAACATCGCACTCAGGCTAAGATGAGGGAACAGGAACAAAAAATCGAAGGAACAATCATGTACCAATGGCACTACGAAGATGAAAGTCGGAAAAAGAACCCCGACGACACGGAATGCCATTCAAAATAACACTCTAAAGTAACTACTGAATTCGATACACCGTTCCAAACAAAGCGAAGTTCGTAGCTTTCGGAGCGAACAGCCGAGGGAAAAATCCAACCTTTACGAAAGCTTCCCGAGTGCCTGCATGGTTTCGAACAAACAATAGGCTGCAGAGTCCTTGAAATAAAAGTACAACAAATTACACTGCATAACAATACTAATGACATAATGAGTAAAAACGCAGCACAGTAAAAAGTCTGACAGTAGAACCGGTGTGATAACTAGTGGCACATACATACAATTGCATAAGTACGAACATAAGTAAACGTTACAAGTCCCAAAACCACGACTTTTGAATTGAAACAGTGCACTTTCGAATACTGTGTTACATAATCCGATTTTCTAAATGTTGCAGCAAATGCTGATTTCTTTGCCAACGTCTTCTGGGAAATATGAGTAGTATAAAGGCAGTACTGGTAAGAAGTGAAATACATAATTTTTTTATGGGTTTTCGTTTTGGCATGGCCGTAGACAACGGGAAAAATGTTTCGTTGAAAAGCAAGAAAATAATTCTGCGTGGATAGATAGGAGTTCACTCTTTATACATGGCAAAATCCACATCTCATATGCGTACTCTTTTCTGTTTAAAAGCCTGCTTAATTGGTTCACGCGATATTTGTAGGTTTCCGAATGATAGAGAGTACCTAAGAGAAACGAATCATGCACTCTGCCAAATTTACAACTCATGCAAAGGTGTTGACCAGTAAAAAAGCATTGAAAGCAGCTGCTATTCAAGTGTTTCCTTCTTACTAAATCAGTACATTCGCAGATCTGTTTCTACTGCTCAGCGTGAAATATATAATGGTAAAATACTATACAATAACTGTGCTACCTCATGAAATATTAATTAACAATTCTGAGATGCACTCTCGATTCGAATAAATTACTTAGGTCGGGTTGTGTTATTAGATACCACGAAGTATAATCCCAAGATATTTCATTGACGTCAAGAAAAGGCTTCATTTAGCCACCTGCAAAAACTAGGCTCTATCAAAAATGACCACTAAAGTATTAGGAACGCTCTCCGTTGACTTTAGAGGCCCTTATAAATTCAAATGTATTTTACAGAAAACAAGAATGAATTTTCTTTCTTGTAGTTATATAGCAAGAAATTGCCTCTTCTTAAAATTGCATACATTTATTTTTCGGTTGTGAAACACTTTTCAAAATGCCCAGGAGTAGTTTTGAATCAGACCTACCGATTCACCTGGATTCGTGGTTTTCAAACTATATGCTTTACGTATTTCTTTTCGGGAAAATGGCACTTTTGTCTGCGTTACGAGAAAGACCGCATATAATGCTCACAAGATTTTGCAATGTGAAACCTGTTCCACATGGTATAAGTAACCTTAACAAATAGACGTATGCAATGCTTTAGAATGCATACTTCACGATCTTAAGCAGTCACATAACTAGAAACCTTATCAAAACCGAAAGATATTCTGTTTTCAAGCATAACATTTAAAGACAGGGCATCGAAAATAAAGTATAAAATTCTTAATGCCTAAGTAGTCATTTTCGAAGGGAATTTTTTGCAGGCTGCTAAGAGGCCCTTTCAAAAGTCAGCATCTCGAGGTCGTCAAATTACCTTGAGGTTATACTGCACGATACTTAACTTTACAACCTTACTTAATTTATCTTGTCGAATCAAAAAACACATTTAAAACGCGGCTGGGCATGCGCAGTCAAGGAGGTTCCTTTTTCCACCTCTCTTGTCCTCAAATGTATGTGGCCCTTGTACACGTACACGACAGCCCCTACTTCCGTCCTGTTACAGATAACCAACAGTGGCAGCAGACTCGTAGCTGAAGAGTCACCGCAACAGAAGACAGCGAAACTGCGGAATAGGCAAATCGTTCGAACAGAAACCGCAGTTGCCCTGTGTCCTCCGCCATCTCTAGCGCACCTAGTTGTTCAAT